AAGGGTAACCCCCCCTCCTCTGCGAGCTTTTCCCCGCCTCCCTGGCCCGCCAGGTTCCTCCACATACCGCCGGACTCCTGACACGACACCGGTGCCACTTCGGGCGCGAAGGAGCCCCGCGACGAGGCGGAGACCCCCGGCCCCTCGACACAGAGGCCCAATCATCCTGGCGGCCGCCGGCGGAGCCCTTCACCCGCCCGCAATGTCGCTTTCTGCCATTGGCTACACGGCGCCTCCCAAGAACCCGAGCCCTGATTGGCTATTCCGCCGACCTCGCTTTTGGGGCGTTCCAATTTGAGTCATATTCAGGTGAGATTACAAAGAGGCGCAGTGGCCCGACCCCATTAGATTGCCTCTTCTCTAGGGCCAAAAGAAAAAAATGGAAAGGAACGCCGGCTGTCCCTTCGGTGCTGTAACCATTGCCATAAATTCTATATTGTCTCCCCCTTTAGCTCGGGAGCAGAATGGATCGGCTAGGGAAATACCACAACTTCAGAGGTAGAGGGGACATTTCTGTTTCGTTCCCCTTTCTCCCGCGTAGCAACGAAATTGTTTCCCACCACTGAGCCACAACGCAGAAGTCTACAGTGAAGTCAGGAATTTGCAGGGCTTTTGTATACTGTACTAGGATTTGGCAAGTATAAAAGACACGCTTCCCCCCCCTCGTTCATCGTTGAACATGGTTCTGTCTCTGATACCTGGTTGCTAAGCAACGCATGGAGACTTCTTGGCAGGAGATGAGTTTAAGTGTCAGTTCTTAAACTTCTTCGCATCATACCATGTTTTTCCTTTCTTGCTTCTCTGCATTTCTTCTTCATCATCATCCTTGCCGAGTTTAACAAAACGGAAGGAAGGAAATGGTCTGAGGTAAAAAATTTAAATATTTTTTAAATATTAAATTTTTTAATCACCACAACAGCATAGTAATGCTGTTTGAAACTAAGAAGAAACTCAAGTGTCTTTCTTGTTACAAAGTGTAAATAAAAACGTAATTTACCTTAAGAAAGATCAAACACCCAATGAATTTATGGTGAAAGATGATGCTGTATAAAGCCTGACACCTTCATGTTGAAAGACAAATATTGTGGCAAGAAATTTCAGAATAAACATTGGTTCGTGCTCATAAAAAGTTATGAGGACACATATGTTTTGAGAAGACAATAGAAAAATAAAACCTACAGAAGTCAGATCAAGCGTCTGTGCAGGATTTTTGAAGGCTGAAAGTGGTATGATTCTATATTGGCATAATTTGGGTGTGTAGCTCAAATCAGGGCAGTGTGTGTAGTGTTCACTGTGTGTAAAAATTAAAATAATAATTCAGTTTTGAGTTTGGGGGACAAGCATCTCTCTTCTGATAACCATAAAACATGCTCTTTCCAAATGTTTAGATATGCAGCCTCAGTTACAAATATATCCAGAATCCAGCCAAATTCAGTCTCAAAACTCTGCCTCACTTTATTCCCCTTTGCAAAGTTCTTGATCTTTTCTCATGATATGGCTGCTACAGTGTGCCTTGGGACTTTCCAGCTGGATTTATACGTGCACATGTAACGATTAATTTTGTGGGGCTATTTGTTTGCTTAGATTTCTGTTGATGATCCTTGCAAACCTAATTTCACAAAATGAGTGTCTCCTTATTCACAGTGATATAACCAGAGGTCCCCAACCCCCGGTCTGTGGCCAGTGCTGGTCCGTGGCCTGAGCTGAACCGGGCCGCGGAGACAGACTTCCTGCCCCCTGCGCACACACTCACCCCTGCACAGCTGATTTGCACATGCTGCGCACACCCGTGTGAGCGCCGCTCCGCCGTGTGTGCCTGCGCACAAGCACGTGCGCAATCCGTGTGAGCCCCATGCTGCCGTTTGTGCATGTGCATGAGTGAGCGAGCGTGCATAAGTGCACACATGCTCATTCACACTCACTCATTCGCACATTTCCATGAGCTTGGGGGGTGCCCTGCCTTCCCCAGCCGGTCCGCGGGGTGAAAACAGTTGGGGACCCCTACCATAGGAGATTGGTTTTATGATTGAAATAAGTTTGGCTCCTGTGCGCAATCAGTGCAGGAAGCAACTGTTGTTTTCGGATACTATTGTTTGGAGACTGCTTCGTGAAACTTTTTGGAGGTCTTTTGACCATCCAACTGGACCTTGATGGAAGTCATTCATGACCATTGTTGTTGAAGAGTGCATAGCATGGTCTCTGGGTCCCTCAGTTGACCAGCTCTGGTGATGCAGGTAAAAATACATATTCTTGGATTTTATTTTATATTTTGACCATGCTAGGTATAGTGTTCACAATTATCCAGATTTTTCAGCATCTGTGAGGGGGGCTTGTAACCATTCTCCTGCAGATATGGGGGTCTTACTGTGCTTTCTGAATCAGAAACTTTACTTCTATAGTGTGTTATGCATACCCATACAAATTGCTTCCTTACCAAAATGCTGATATCAAGTCACAGCCAGCTGAACTCACACATCTACTCACACAAGTAGGAGAATACACTATAAGGAGCTGAAATAACCAAAGCCTCCCAATATAATAATAATATAGGCACATTCAGAGTTAACACCTCTGAAGTAAAACATTAATGATGTTGTACTCCCTGTCACCTCAAAAGATGCATGTGATTGTGGAATTCATAGAATCATAAAATAATTGAATTGGAAAGAGTATATAAGGCCATGGGGTCCAACCCCCTGCTCAAGGATGTAATCCAAATCAAAGCAGATCTGACACCCAGTTGTTTGATTTTCTCTTGAATGCCTCCAATATGGGAGCACTCACCCCCTGTCAAGGTAATTGGTTCCATTGTTGTACTCCTCTAACAGTTAAGAGGTTTTTCTTTATATTCAGCCTAAATCCGTCTTCCTGTAGTTCGAGCCTATGATTACGTGTCCTGCACTCTGAGATGATCAAGAACAGATGATGCCTCTCCTCTACATGACTGTTTTTGAAGTATTTGAAAAGTTTGATCACATCTCCCTTCTATCCCCTTTTCTCAAGGCTAAACATGTTCATGTATTTCCTCATAGGGCTTCGTTTCCATTCCCCTGATCATCCTCAGAGGAGTAGAAACCAGAAAGAGAGAAAACACCTTGCGTGTGGGAGAAGAGGGAGCAGAGTGAAAGTCAGAATTAGCCCCAGAATAGACCTGCAAGGGAAAAAAACGGGGTGGGAGAGAAAAGAAACAGAAGAGAAAGGGGAATTGCTGGGCAGTCTAGAAGAGGGTGGGGGGAAAGACTCGTGACAGCTGAGAGGAAGACTGGGTCACTGGATGGGT